CCTCTAAAAAGGACTCTGCGGACTTTTCAAATATAACCCGAGTATTACACCCAGGGTCGAATCCACAGAGAGTTAACCTATCAATCACAATCTTTAGACCCACTAAACTCTTGAGAACCAATTTCCCAAACTTTTGAAACACAGTTGAAGGTTTCTTTACTAACTAAGATTGCAAGTAAATGNAATCCTTTTCTTGGCCGGCTTCCTTGGTTTAATATAGGGTTTAGGGCTTAAAATCCCATGTTTTTCACCTTGGTCCCTGAAATTTACGCATCCTGCCGTGGTCGCGCCGGAACAGCGGCCAAACACCCTCTCAGATTCTTCAGTTGTCCGCGACTGCCCTCTGCCGCGGTTCTGCCGTGATCGCAGTTTTTGACCCTGTTCCATTTGGAATTTGGAAAAACATAAAACATGAAAGTTGTATCCCTTTGAGTATCTTTCCAACCATATATTGTAGAGCCCAAATGGAGTTCTGAGTAAAATATTATATCTATTTTACTAGACAGTGCGCAATATGCCTCTTCGAGTTTTCGTTTTGTTGTTTTATCATCCGTTAATCCCCGAACACGATACCGGCTTAATTCCTTGAGCTCTTACTCAGACATCAAAGCTCCAAACCACTTAAATTAATTCCATAATATCTATATAGCTCGAAATCACACCTACAAGGCATAAAATACACAATTAGTGCAAAACACTAGCGATTAAAGCGCAAACTCAACTAAAGTGCAGTAAATTAGAGTGTAATAATCGACTAAAATACGTAATTATAGCCTATCATCACACGCCTACAGGCTACTGGTTTCTATACAATTTTTGAGCTTGGACGGATGCAGTTTGATTGGTCTCTCATCACGACCTTGGTAGAGCGGTGGCGACCGGAGACACACACTTTTCACTTGCCCACTGGAGAGGCCACCATCACGCTGGAGGATGTTCAGGTTTTGTACGGGCTGCGAGTAGATGGACGGGCCATAGCACTGCTCTAGTACATTAGATCCATGACGCGTGTACAATTTTTGGATATGATGGGGCATTTTACTGGTTATAGACCTTATGGTGACGCTGGGGGTTGTCGCGTTGCTTTGTCAGCCATCAGAGATCATATGGCGTTTTTGCACCCAGACATTACCGGCGAGACGGAGGATCTCCATATTGAGAGATACACGCGGTTGGCGCTGCTCCTGCTTTTCGGGTGTGTCTTGTTCCCGAACACTTCGGGGAGTAAAGTGAGTATGCGCTTTCTCCATTATCTTCAGCAGCTAGATGGTTTACCCCAGTACAGTTGGGGTGCTACTGTTCTCGCATACCTGTATAGGAGCATGTGCCGGGCGAGCATGGGCCCAACGGTGGGCATATGTGGTTTTCTGCCCCTCCTACAGGTGACAACATTTTCGAATACTCTGTTCATTTCTCCGAATTCTATATGGTCTAAATGACTCATAAATTTTACATCAACCTTTTATCTTAGGTTTGGGACTAGCAGCGGATCATGCCATTGCAGCCACCTCTACCACCACTTGCGCCTGGTGAGGCTTATCCGTTTCTCCCTCTAGCTTCTAGGTGGATTCTCCGGCGTGGGAACTACCGAGGGATCGATGCTCATCATAATCTCCCCCTTATCAGGGATGTGCTAGATATGCTGGTAGACGGACAGGTAAATATGTACCTACACTTACTTGTTTTAAATTGAGTTGTGTTGCGTATACTCACTTTTATGTTATTATTTGGTAGTTCATCTGGACGCCATACAATGACGAGTTGCTAGCTCAGCTGCCCTTTTATTACTCAGTCGATCGACTGCTTTGGAGCACCTCTGTCCCGATGATTTTCTTCGATATGGTTGAGTATCATGCCACAGAGCGTGTGCTTCTCCAGTTTCACCGTCCCCAACCTATACCGAGGGAGCCTGGATGGGTGGCTATACACTATCAGCGGGATGACCGTGCCAGGATGGATGATATATATATGGGATGGCTAGAGCAGCAGGTCCATATTTGGGAGGAGCAGCGAGCTGACCGTATTCTGCCAGCACCTACATTTACCCAGGAGGCCACTATTCATATGTATGCGTCATGGTACCGCCATCACACTCGACTGATTATCGGGAACCCCATTCATGTACTTGGCGAGCGCTGCAGACCATACACCGGGAGACACGAGGCACTGATATGTTTTTTGGCTTATTAATATCGTATAATTGTGATATAGCGTTATTTCATTAATATTTTAAATATTTCACAGCCTATTGGGCATCATCACCTCTAACCACCCGGTGGTGACAAGTTTAAATCAAGGCAAACTCTTTCATCAACAATCTGTTCGGCAAAAACTGCTCAAGAATAACCACCTGATGACTGGGGGTTATCCCTACTATGCACGCCCTCATTATTGGGAACGTCTTCCACCTTGATGTACATTTCTAATAATTTTATTACAATAAATTCCCTGTATTCATCCGGAATCCGCAAAAAATCTCTAAGAGTTTCATCATCCTCGATGTTAAACTCAAAATAATAAGCAAACCCCTGCGGAGTCACTGAATACGGAAATCTACCGATTATTTTAAGGTTAACCGAACGCCTCCTCTCATTCATTTTTTTACGTAACAACGATACCAATTTATCGTACTCCATAGTAAGCGGCAATTTAACATGACATTGTGGAGGTAAGCTATACCTCACAGAGTTATTCTCCAACACAACCTCACCCCCCCAATATAGTAAAACTCTTATTTTTGCCACTTCAGACATTGTAAAGAAATGATTGGTAAGAAGAAGATAGAAGTATGAACGTAAGTTTGAAGTAAAGTATTGAATGAATTTTCATAAAATTGAAACGCCTTTAAATAAGGCAAGTCCGACGTTGGGGTGTAGAATTTTTCTATGTAAAACGCAGTACAATACTACGTTTTATGTATTGAATTATTATTATGTCAGTTCATTATTGGTGGGGCCAAAAACCAGAGTAAAATGCAGTATTATACTGCGTTTTGCAAATTTTCTTAGTAAAACGCAGTATAGTACTGCGAATTACAAAAAAAAAAATTTAAAGTAAAATGCAGTACTATACTGCGTTTTACTTTAATGGCTAAATTTCCGTTAAAGTAATTCGCAGTATAGTACTGCATTTTACTCATTTATGTAACTTTTTTTTAAGTAGTAGAAAAGTATTTTTTGTCCAAAAAATTATCAAAAAAGTTTCGGTGGTCATACAGTAATTGCTGTGCTATTCATAATTATTATTACTTTTGACTTTAGCACTCTATACCTATTTCCTCTCTGGTCAGACAAATAAAAATTAACTGAGATTTACATCGATGGTGTACTTCAAGAGAATCAGTGTTAGACTCCAAGAATAATATGTGTATTCCTCGTTGATAGTTGTGAGAGACAAACTCTCAAGTAAACTTAAACTAAATAATGATGTTTTGTTCATGAAATCTAAGTCAAAAGTTCTTTTCGATAAAAGCTCGAATTTGAAGCGTATACACCTACTTTGGACGCAAAATAAGAAATCATTTCAAAATTATTTGACTTAATTAAATTGACATAGAGAAATTATTTCAAAATTAGTTTTATAAGTCATTAGATTATAAGTGCTTTAGAAGTTTAGATGCTAAATATCTGTCTAAAAGTATTTTATCTAAAAATCACTGCTACTAAAATGACTTTTGAGAAGAAAAAAGAACTAAAAAAAAGGTCCTCAGTCTTTGATCAAAGTGAGGAGGATTAAAATATCTATGCAGAATACATAAGCGGCCCCCTAAGATTGGCCATTTTTTTCATTTGGACACGTAGGTACCTATTTTGATCTTTAAGTGAATACAAATTGTGTCAATTAAACAAACACTGCTAATATGGCAGTGTGAAATACACCACTTGTGTTGAGTGCGTGAGAATAAGTAGATTTTTTTTTCTTCAAGATTTTCCTTCAATCTCCTTCTTCTTCCTTTGTACCGCCACCATCTCCACCACTATAACAGTTGCTTCAGCACCATCGCGCTTCCTCCACCACATGCCAATCACTCTCCACCTTTCAAATTCAATTCCAGTGACCAAAAATTACAGTCAACACCAGAAATCTTTTTCAAGAATACACTTTACATTCAATAGAAAAATGGTCAACTAGGAATGAAAGAAGCATCACCAACACCACAAAGCCAAAGCCCGGCCGAAAACCCACCTTAGGAACTAATGGTCGCCAACGAAGGACAATTGTAAGCGGTGATGGAAGTGGCTTTGCGGGTTTTAAAGATGAAGAGGACAAAACAATTAGAGCACCTTTCTAGTGAGGGACGACTACGGTGGTGGGTCTGGGTGCTGCTAGTAGGGGTGGCAAATCCATTTGCTTGCTGAAAGTTACAAAAGATGTAGTTGAAAAGATAATGGTGATAATCAGCAAGAGTTGTTGAGTTATGAGCTTTCAAGTCGCGGCTGCAATCCAATAGTTCTGGCAATGTTCATCGGTAGCGAAATAGTGGGTGGAGAAAGTGACGAGCATCTCCAAGGGTCCTTCAAATTTGGCTTTTTTTTTCCGTTAAGTGACATATTTTTTTTTATTGGTCCTACTTTGCCATGTTGGCAGCAAGTGAAATACACACACTTTAATTTGTTTGGAGCTACAAAATATGTGTCTAATTGACATAATTTTTCTTCGCTTAAAGTGCCCAATATGAACTACTATTAGTTTACGTGTCAAAATGAAAAAAATGGCAAAGTTTAAAGGGCCACCTGTGTATTCAGCCCAATATCTATATATAAAAAACTTATGGAAGTCACCAATCCCCAAGTGACATCTAGACCAAGGAGATATGCCTAGTTTCTTTTCTTTTCCCCCTTTTTATGGATTATTATAATTAATTTTCCTATCTGTTTTTTTCTCCTGAACTTTAAAGCAAGTGTCCTAGAACAGATGTCATGTGATGACTTGACGTCCTTAGATTTGTGTCGCGTTTATAAAAGTAGCGTACGTATGATACCGACCTTCTCCCTTATTATATATATATATATATATAATATAAAGTTCAGTTCATGTGTTAATACCACTTGTTTTTCGTCTGCTGCAATTTTTTCTTTCTCCGCAATCTCTAGTGTTGGATCCTACAGGTAAGCTGTTTCTCCCTTTCTCCCCGATCAAAATTATTAGAAAATTAAATCCATATAAAATTTCACCGGTTCTCTATTTAGGTTTTATAGCAACGACTGTTTTTTCTTCTAAAAAGAATTTTGGATTTGGTAGTTCTTGAAGAGACTTTAGGATTTTTCTTGGTTTTCTGCTGTTGGTCTGTTAATTTCTTTTTTTACACTTGCGATAATATCCATGTATTTATAGAATCCGTTAAAAATACTTATTAACAAAATTTGTATCAGTAGCGAAATTGTTTGAAGTTCTTGATTGTTCTCTCGACCCTTTTAACTGACTTTATTTGCTTTACTTTTACATGCATAGACTTGAGAAAAAAGGAACATGATGAGTATCTGGCAGGACAAAAGTCATTTTTTGTGGAAAATATTTTCCAAAAAAAATGCTTTCTTGATAATTGATCCGTGAATATTTTTTGGAAAAATATATTAGAGATCTGTAATAATATTTTTTTGATCAGATAAAGATAAGTAATAATATTAACAAACCGGGCATTGTTTTGATGAAATATCGAGCATTACAAATTGATAATAATGTGCAAGTGTTAATTGGAGCAAGTGATATGAATTAAAAGTTAGGATAAGTTTCAGAAAATGATGTCCAGAAGTTATTTTCTCCCTTTATGATAGAATAGATAACCTAACCCCAGAAATGACTTTCCGTATGACACGATAACACCAGAAATGACTTTCGTCATTCTAAACGCAGTGAAAAGCAAAAGACCGCCTTTTGATATTTTCTCTTCATATATCTGGTGTTTGCTGTGATTACTATTGCTGACAAGCATAATCTTTTAGATTGATCATTTGTGATATTTGCTACTCTGATGCTTGTCATATAACTTCGTTCTGTAATTTTAAGATGCTTTGAAGAGCATTATGTGATTTTGGTAGTTGTAACATTATTCTTTATGTAGGAGCTCTTCTTCGTAGGAAAAGATACTGTAATAGTTCCATATCGTCTTGTGTATATTTGCAATGTTACTTTACTTTGTTTTTCCCTTCTTTAGTTGACCATTCCTTATGGCCTTTCACTGATGAGCTTTAGTCAACTCTGATTATTCCACCCCCTTTCCCCACCACCTAAAGAATCAACAAAAATTCTTCGTTGCATTCCAATTGTTCACTTATTACCACTTCCAATGTTTGAACAAGCTGCATTCTTTTGGTTAATGGTTTCAGGCATAATGGGTCGGTTAAGTCGGACTATCTATGTGGGCAATCTTCCTGGTGATATTCGTGAGAGAGAAGTAGAAGATTTGTTTTACAAGGTTAGTTAGATAAGTTACTTGTTTGCTGGAAGGACATATTTTCTGCAATTTGATATGTTATAACTAAGTTATACATTTACCTTCAATTTGTTTCTCCTTTTATGTTGGCTTACTTCTTGTCATTTAGAAGGGCGCCAGCGAGTTCCATGAGAACTTGCGCTCTTGGGTTGATTGAAAGAGGAATAAATTTGTCTAAAAAAGAGGGAAATTTGGGGGTTAAATGCAAGGATTCATTCTTCTAATATGTTTTATATCTGGTGGCATCTTTGTAAGCTGTGCCTAAGTGGATTAGGAAACCTTGTGCATTGTCTATCTTTCTTGGTCTTCTCAGGTCTCTTGCCTTTCATATTAAACTCTTAAAGTGATAAGAGGTGTATAGTCTAACTTCACGCTTAGTCTTTCAGTTTTTTTTTTCTTTCAGCTTTCTAAAAGCCCCTGAAAGTCATCTAATTTGGCACTTTTGGGATCATGCTCTTTTGCTTAATGAAACATCTGGCCGCTTTACAATATACATGAATTTTTTTCTGAGGAAAGATGACTTATTTTCAATTTTTAATATAGATTCTTTCTGTTGCTATATTTGTCAATTACATAATTCCTTTTGGTTCATTCTGAAGATGGTTGACTAAAGGTCATTAAAATTTATGGGTTTTTTTTATTACGTGTTGGCTAACCTTTTTGGTGTTTGGACCAGTTTATTTGTCAATTCTCCCCTCTCTTTTTTTAGTTACCTATGCCAAATTGCTAATCTTGTGAATTTCCTGCAGTATGGGCATATCGTGGAAATTGAGTTGAAAGTTCCTCCTAGACCACCTGGTTATGCATTTGTAGAGGTGAGTTCTTTGTTAGGAATTGAATCATTGAGATGTTAGTTATTCCCTTATTGTATTGGCGAATAGCTCAATTTTCTGCATATGTTTCTTCATGCTACATCAGGTTTGATAGATCTCATTGTTGTCATTCTTTTGTACGTTCCAGTTTGAAGATTCTCGTGATGCTGATGATGCCATCCGTGGGCGCGATGGCTATGACTTTGATGGACATCGATTACGAGTTAGTTGTCCCCTCCCCTCCCTGTCTTTTTGGTGATGTGTGGTATTTTGGAAGTCAGATTATGTTCACCATTGTTGTTGTTTATTATGATTTCTGTAGGTTGAACTTGCTCACGGTGGGCAAGGATCATCATCATATGATCGCCACAGCAGTTATAGTAGTGGGAGTCGTGGTGGAGTTTCTAGGCGCTCAGACCATCGCGGTTAGCCTGATTTTAGTTGTGTTATCATAATTCCTTGCGTCCTCGACATTAAGCTATTTCATATAGTTATTATTATTTCATGCTAAAATAAAAACTTTGCAGTTCTGATCTCTGGACTACCATCTTCTGCTTCATGGCAAGACTTGAAGGTTAGCATGTGTTAAGTTATCTTGTTATGATCAGTAAAGATTTCGGGAACTTGCGAGAGATTTTGATCAGTGTGGTTTCTTTTACTTGGTATTGCTAGGATCACATGCGCCGAGCAGGAGATGTCTGTTTCTCTCAAGTTTTTCGAGGCCGTGACGGTTAGTTAGGTTATTGAGGCAGTTTTTATAGTTGCATTTGTTCAATTCTTAATGATTTTCATTAATGGACATATCTTCCCAGGAGGGGAATGTACATTGGTTTCTAAGTCATACTAGTATTTTACACATTTTGCTGGGGGGTGTCTAAACAGGTATGTAACATAACAAATTAACACGTGAGACAATCAGGTTACTTCTTGATCAACTGGTGCTTGTATCTTACAAAGAAAGACTCGAATAGCATGGTACTGGGTAGAATGTCACTTGTCATAGGGCAAATACTTCTGGAAATATCGTTAAACAAATATATTAAACAATTTCTCTTATTCAGTGTTTAGGGAAACAGGTGTTAGATCAAAATCTAAATGAATGCTTATTATTTATCTGACTTTGAAGCTAGACATGTTTAGGTTTGAAATCAAACAGGATAATGGTTGATTTTCAACAAAAACCAAGGGCCTTCCCATCTCAATACTTCCATTACAGCTCCTTTGTTCCTTTTTTTTCCGATTGATCAGTAAAAAGAAATATTTAGAAGCAAATCAAGATGTTTAGTCTGGGTATTTTCATTGTTTATTCAGCTTCAATATATTAATTTTTGATTGTTTGAAAGTGTTTATGATGTTTTAGGGCGTAAATGATTTTTTTAACACAACTATGTTTCAGAATAAGATCTTCAGGAAAAATCCAAACACATAATTTGCTTTCCGAAAGCCAAACACTTATACCATAATCGGAATTCAGTGATCATCTTAATATCACTGATGTCCGCAATCAATCGCATTGGGAAATTTTTGGAAAGTAGTCTGAGGGGAAAGAGAATTTAATACCCTAAAGTGTTCAAATCTTTTCTAGAATATAGTCAAGCTAATTTCACAAAATATAAAAAATATTCTTGCTTACTGTTCCAGTAGTTCCTTTATTTTCTTAAACTTCCAAAGACAGCAAGGGTCAGATAAATTCAGAATAAAGTCTACATTAATGCCAATTACTTGAATCGAAAGGATTAGAAAAGCCATCGCATGCATATAAGATCACTTACAAGACCTGTACGCTGTCTGACCTGATATTTCATTTTGCTCAAAGATAAATTTTGGTGAAGAAAAGCATTTACCAATTGAAACTCCTCAAGAACATCTAAAGGCATTACCTCATTAAGAAGTTATTCTGTGGCTTCTAATTTCTTTAGCGCAGTTTAAATAAAAGTTTTTAGTTGGGGAGGAAGCACTATAAAGATCAGTTAGCTAACACTTCTCTTATCAGACACCATATATAATGGGGCACTTAGTGTGCAGTCTATTTTATCTTATTGCACTAGATCTCCGTGCATCGCTTTCATGTAAGGCTCGTGACTATTAAAGAAAGTGTGCCTACTCTTTTTGTCCTCCATTCTTTCTAGTCAGTTAAAATTTCAATGATCTGTAAGCATTGCAATGGAAGCGGTTGATGTTAGCTACTGCTATTTTTGCAGGTATGAGGGGGATTGTGGACTATACCAACTATGAAGATATGAAATATGCGGTAGGCTAATAAAAGCTTTAAGTGACTTGTTTTAATCTGTAATATCACATCATTGGTTCTTCTTCTCCTCTGGAATAATTAAGGTTTTCTGGTTTAATTAATTCCTTTTTCCTTTGTCAGTCTCCTCATTTATCTCTTTTTTTGTTTGTTTCTTTTGCAGATAAGGAAACTTGATGACTCTCTCTTTCGCAATCAGTTCTCTCGAGCGTATATTAGGGTCTGTTCCCAGTCAGTAGGAGAAATCCTGGATCCAATATTGTGTTTATGCATTAGTTTAACTCAGTTATCTACTCTTTAGGTGGAGGAGTATGATAAGAGACGTAGCTATTCCAGGAGCCCAAGCCCATATTATTCAAGAGGCAGAGTTTATTCAAGAAGCAGGAGTCCTCGACGGAGCTATAGCAGCCAGAGAGAAGGTTTAGTTTCTGACTATCTTTTCCTTTACCTTCAGAAAATTTAGCATGTTTACTAATAGTCATTCGGCAGTGTGTCTCCTAGGGGTAAATACTCTCGTCGCTCCGCGTCTGTCTCACGCTCAAGGTCTTTTTCCCCTGCTCGCTCTGTTTCTAGGTACTTTCTTTGTTTCACATCAAGGTTTTAATATTTCTCTTATGCTTTGCTAAATTAATCTCGTTTTAAGTATAGTTAAAACATAGTTTTCATAGTCCTAATTCATGCTTTGTAGCATATGAGCGTGTCTTATTTGAATTCTTTTTGCAAGTCCGTTACATGTAATCTACCTTAATTGCTAGGTGCTGTGTGCTTAGTATGTTCTTCTTAGGATCCTCCTTTACATTCGTTTGAGCAATATCCCTTTTTGGTGGTGTTTTTGTGCTTTATTTAATGGAAATTCTATATGAGGAATCAGCAGTATGACTATACAGTGGAAAACCTATGTTGATTTGGGAGTCTCTTTTGTTGTTTAGATGTTCAGCTCCTGTTATCTTCGTGGTTTTGATTGGTTAGGGTAATGACACCATTGTTGGAGAAAGTATACAATTTTCTATCCAGTTGAGTGTTTTTTATACTTATCTGGAGAATGAACATCAAAGTTTCTTGGAGCTTTTGTTTGCTTTTTCTTCTTTCTGCCCCATGCAAGGCTTTAGACCACAGTTTTGTTTTGTTGTGTTTCAGTGGCTCTGTCTGGTTAGATGATCAAGCACTTCTCATTGTTTGAAGTTCCATTTTCTGGAGATATGTAGAGTCAAAAAGGCTCACTGTGTAGTATCACCAGAATGTATAGAATTAGACATCTAAAATATCTCTTTTATTTTCGAGAGCTACAGAAAGATAGCATTAGTACTGGAAATTAGTAGGAATAGCAATGACCATATAATTATATAAAATTGGGGAGGATATGAATTGGATGCTTCGTGTAGATAGATGAGGAATTGACAATTTGGTGCTATTAGAATTACTAAGAATATAAGTTTTAGATTGGTCTGGTATGTTGGTAGTTTTGAAGCAGCAAGGAATCAGAGAAACCGAGTCCTTATTCGACGAGAAGTTATTTCTAGCCTGCATATTTCAGATAAAAAGTGACATGGAATGAGGAGATAACCCTTTTGTGAGAATGAGAGTATGAGATGATCTACCTCTTTATTGCCGAAGATGGATGGATTTGTACCTTCTATTCTGTAGGATGGGGGTGTAAGGGAGGAATGGTTAAAGAGCAGACCAGCAAGAGAATTTGTGGGTCATTTCTCTTTTGGGTGGGGAGGGGGGCTGGGTTGGAGTTGAGAGCCTGACTGTTAGGGACTTCTCGTGGTTTCTCATTGAATTATCTTCTGGTTGTCATTGAGTTTTGAGGATGGACTTTGTAAGTTTAGGCACTTCTAGTTGAATGATTTGATATACTTACTGTGGTTAAGACGATTTGATTTTTCAGACTTGAAAATTGATTTCCAAAACCATTGGAGAATGACTTCCCGAAAGAACTCTGAAGCATTATTGGTGGGATGAGACTAAATTTTCTTGTCTAGTTTTCTAAAATTCCAGGAATACTTGAGATGCAATTTCCTCTTTCCATTGTTCTCTTCTTCCTCTCCCCAATCTTTTTGATTCGGTTTTTCTTCAGAACGAATTACCACCTTTATGGTTAGTAAGATGATTACGAAGATTGCCTTTTTTTGTTTTGTTTTCTAGATCTTGCATTTCGTGGCGATCTGGGGATTGCTTTTTAGGCAGGTGATGTCCAATGGTGCTCAAATTCAGGCAACTCGCTTGGATGTGGCAGTAATCTGTTTTAGTGGATGAGCACCTCTGGTAAACTCAGGATGGTAAACTGTATTTTAATATGGTATTAAGGTGGATCTTACTCAAAGCAATATATCAAATTGTTTTTGGGCTAATCCCGAGGGTTCTGAACGTGGGAACACTATTGAATAGACAAATAAAAACTTAATTTGTTTTTTAGAGCGTGGGGGGCGGTGCATGCATTTGTATGGTATGACCTCACAACTTGGACGGACAATCTCCAGGAAGTGCGTTGCGATTGGTTTTTGTTTCAATTTGATCATGTTGGTTGATTGATATTATAGATTGCTGGCAGCTGTTGCTAACTACTTTGATTGTGGACGTGGAAGTAGCATGGATTCATTTGGATCAAAGGTCGTTCTGGAACCTTTTGGCTACAGAATTCTACTGATATTAACTAGAATTGTTTGTGGGATTTGTGCAGATCTCAATCACGATCCAGATCTCCACTGTCACCTGTAAGTAGAACTAGCGTCATATCTCGTTATGGATAATGCAGTTCAACTATGCTTTATTAAATCGCGTATCTAAGTTATGCTTTCACAAACTTTGTTGTCTTGTAGCCACATCGTCGGAGGCATGCAAGGAGCCCAAGCAGGAGTCGGAGCAGGAGCTTCTCTTATTCTCGTTCATCGGTATGTTTGAATAGTTATGGTCTGGTTTCAGTGTTAATATCATCATTAGACCTATTTCCATGTTCCTCATATGAGGATGGTTATGTGCAGGGGATATCCGACTGAGACTTTCCAAGAAACAAAGGGCAAACTGAAGCCAAATTCAGTAGTACTTTGCAGACTTGTTGGATGTTAAGGGAATTGGCTTTTAGCTTAATGTTTACTTTCGTTAAATTCTTCAGTTGTCACATTTAGAAATCAAGCTTTGAGTTCTAGCTAGCTAGTTGCACTTCCTAGAAACTGTTTTGGGTTAATAGCCATGTATGCCTTTTGAACTGCTGAGTGAAAATTGAGGACGATTAATATGTGTTATATTTTATCTGTGATTGTCACCCATTATCAAATGTTCTCATTTAAGCCATATGATCTGTGGAGAAAAACTGGCAGCCGGGTGGTGACAACAAGACATTTGCTATGTATGTGTGAGTTAGACATATATCACGCGTTGGAATGCTGCTGCTGGAATAGCCTGGTAATTTGACTTGGGGAAGATATATGGTGTTGATTCCAAAAATAAATTAGATATAAATAGGAATAATTAGCTGATGGCATGTAGTTCAGTCTCCCAAAAAATCACTCAACATAGAAGGAAAAGAAAGATAAAAAGCATACTGAGATGCCTGTCAAAATTTTCATATTTAGTTCAAAAAGAGGTACTAAAAGATGTTTGATTCACAACAGCACATTATAAAAACGCCTCCTTATTTTATTTCTAAAATAAAAATAAAAATTACCATTTGACTATGATCACTTGTTAACCAAGCACACCTTACAGTGGTACCTATAATTATAAAAATGAGAAAACTGTGAAACTAGATAAGAAGAGAGACTTTTTTATTGCCTTCAACAGATTTGGAGTCAACAAACGGCGCCATTAGCTAGAACGACGATTATGTGCCACTTTTCAATTCTGAATTATGTCTTGACAAGGGAAAACGCTTTCTCATAATGTTAATTTAGGAAATATTTGACAAACTACAACAATGAAGTTCTTGTAATGTTTGGTGTATGACGGAAAATAAATAATACAAAGACGAATGCAAATGTAAATACATCAATCTTGAAAACTTTTCAACAATTATTTTACTAATTATGAAGCGAAGCACTTAAAACCAATTCTTATGTTTTATAAAATGTAATTATTCATTGTAATTTTAATATTTTCTTCCTCTTTATTAGTTTTTTTTTTGTAGTTTTAAGTTGCAAAAAGTGGTTGTGTGTTGGAATAAAGCCCAGTAGGCACGTTTTTGCGAAAGTGATGTGCCTCTCCAACAGGTGTGGTAGGTAGGGGTGTACATGGATCGGGGTGGTTCGATTTTTACCAAAATCAAATCAAACCAATTATATCGGTTTGGATTGGTTCGGTTTTGTCGGATTTTTCGGGGTTTTTTGTTACATGAATATTATTTCAATCTTACTTTGTTAAAATTATAGATAAAACTTTGATAAGTGAATATATGTTTAGTAAATATGGAAAAAATTGACAAACATATGATCTGTTAAAATATTCTAATGGGAGAATTTTTTTAGTAACACGTGATAGTTATTTTCTTAGTCATCTAACAATAATTTTTTGTTAATTTACTGCTTTCAAGGTTAATACATGAGAGAATCCAAATATTTCTACATTTTCTAAAGAAAATTTACTATAAAGTCTTAAAAATATAAATAAATTTATATATTTATATGTCAGTTTGGTTCGAGTATTTTTACTCAATACCAAATCAAGTCAAACCAAACCTAATTGAGTTTTTTAATCGATTTGGTGCGATTTTCCGGTTCGGTTTGAACACCCCTAGTGGTAGGCAAGTTCTGCCACAGCGTCGGGGTACGGAATGGAATCATTTGGTTGACAACTCATGTGGAATTGTGAGACGTGCCCAATTTTGCTGAGAGTAGAAAGGCGCAACAAACTTCACCATCTACTAAGCCCATTCTTTAACATCCAACCACTTTATTACCCCCACTTGGTTACAAGCCCCCGTTACAAGGCTCGGTAATTGACTTCACCTAACTAATTGCTTATATAATCTTGTCCTTTTTCGATGTGGTAGTTAGAATTATAAAAAAAATCTCTAAACATAAAAGGAAGCAAAAGCACAATGAGATCCCTCTCAATCTTGTCATATTTAGCTTAAAAAGAAATATTAAGAAGATGTTTGATTCACAACAGCAGATTATTATGAATACTTCCCGAATTTTATTTCGTTAAGAATGATTTAATTTTCACCATTGGCCTATGATCACTTGTAAAGCAGATAATGGCTAAAAACTAAAGGAAAATTTTGGTGAAAACTTTCCAATACTATTCCATAAATAAGAACATTTTGAGATCTACATTCTTACGTACCAAAAGTAGTCCTTATAATTGAACATTATCTTTTCTTATGTTTGGCTCCTCCCGTAAGGAGTTGCGATAATAAGCATTATCTTATTCAAAGTATACCAAATAACCATTATCTCCACTATAAAATGATTAAAAAGTCTAGTATCTTCAACACTTATTCCTTGTCACCCCTGGCCCTGGGGCAAGGATGCAGTTGGTGCTCAACCATAGAACCAATCTGAGCAGCTTCCTTCGGCCAAAACAATATTTTGGTTCATCATTCACGTATTATGTCAAACCATTTACCAAATTGACAGAAATTTGTGTAACCAAGCACTGCAGATAATAGAGGCAACCACTAGCTTGAACTTTTGCCATTAACATTGTGATGTTATTTATAACCCACATGGCACAGAAACAAGAGGACACCACCGCCCCATCACACAACCCATGGCCATAAAAAAGGGGTCATTTCATGGCCACAAAACAGTTTGAACCTGCCAGATTGACAAGACTCCAACCATTATGATTGTTTTCTCAAACATACATAAATTGGGTTCATTTCACAGTGATCACAGTTCTCATCAAAACAGCACAAGAAATTCATGACCGATTCTGGGATGGCATCCTCCAAGATCCATGCCTCGGGCGGTAGCTGCCAGATCGGCTACCAGTATCAGACCCAACACCAGTGTGATGAAAGGGTCCCCAAATAGGATCTCTGTCAACCTGACTCAAGGGGAAGTCAGGCAAGTGTTCCCGTTCCCAATATCTGTTGGATACAGGATTTTCTGCTTCTTGAAAGTTTCTTCCTGAAGAACCTGAAGGATAGAAGTAGAAGCCACCGGCCTGATCAGATGATGAGGCAACTGGCCCTACTTGAGCCATCCCTCTATGACTGCTGGATCGTCTCGTAGCAGACATAACAGGAGCACGTACAGCTGGTGAATTACTTGGTTGCTGAAAATATGCTTGAAGAGCCTGAACGCGGTCACGGGTCCGAGCTGCGCTTCCAGGATAAGGAGGTATCATTGGTGAGGCAACTGAACTTCCAGCTCTAGCAGCAGAACTGCAAAAGCAAAACAAAATCAAAAATCTGAAATGAGTACAAAAACAGCTTTCCTCCTTCCCCTATTTTGGTGTTTTTCTCAAGTGATCTCAAACAAGAAAAATTTTAATCAAAGTTTCAAGTCTTTTTCCTATTTAATATTTCCTCCGCCCCTCACCCCTCACCCCCACCCAAATCAAAAATAAAAAGGTTAAGGGAACCTTCCTTTTTGAGGTACAATTAAAACCGACATTTAAATAGGATAGATAATAATTTGAAAAGAAACAAATTAATTGCCAGTGATTCCACATATCATACCCGTGACTAACAAGGAATGGAGGGACAAACGATCCTGGTCTTGGGATATCTGCATTGGTTCTGGCAGCTCTCTGAGTAACAGAGGGAATCAAGGACTGATCAGCAGTACCAACACGACTGCTTGTCACAGGGAAAGAAGATGAATGATGGTCCCAACTATGATAATGCACATCCATTCCTGGGAAAGCATAAGAAGCAGGCATCTCACTGGGAACAGATGGACTATTCCAATGATTGTTGAAATTAGGACCATCATTGATACTTCCACTCGAATTTGAGGATGATGGGTGAATTCCAACATAGGCAACATATGGGCATGGATGAGCAGCAGATGATACAGCCGTGTGTTCAGCAAATATAGCATGCTGACCGAGAAGATCATGATCTATAAAGTAGAAATGAAAACTTTCTCATTATTGAAGCATGACAAAAAGATTTAGCACTGTAATTCAAAGAGTCAGAAATCTTACATGCACTAGATGAAAGATCCCCTTCACTGCAAGCATGTAATTATAGGTTAGGAAGTATTATTAGAAAATAAAAGAAGAGAAGCAAAAGAAAAAGAAAGGGCCTAGACATGACACAAGCAGCAAAATCTACAGCAAAAGCAAGACGGGAGAAAAACAACCATACCCCATGAACACCAAGAAAATAGAGGGATAATTCTCATCATCAGATCTTAGCTTTGTTTTCTTTGTTCAAATTAAATAAAACTCAATGGCCGGCACATAGTGTTCGCTCACTGATTAGCAAGCAGTCACAGAACAGAAAGTATTAGGATCCGCAGTTGGGCTCTAATTTCACGAGGATTAATAGGATATACGGAAGTCCTAATTATGCTTTCTGTCCCATGTGATACACCAAGAAGAACTAAAGATGTTAATTTGACTTATGCATTACATAAGTTGCAGTGGAAAAAAATATTAATGTTGTAATTGAATCGAAATTTTTTAGTTTAATTTGTAAAGAAATCATCAAATCGAAGTTTAAATTTGATTACGTAAATAAAATTGACTCTGGAACCTGTAAGAAGTTATATAAAATAATATTATTAGCATAATGGTGTTGAACATTTCATCCAACAGGAAAAGAGTGATAAATTGGAGCAGATTAGATGATTTTCTATGTAAGCCTTAATAGGATAAAAAAAGGCAATACCTTGCTCCCACTTGAACTTGGTCCAGCCTTAGTTGGCTCACATGTTCGAAACTTGGAGGAGTGTGAACCTGCTCCTCTACCCTGTTCCAATTTAAATATCAGGCTCCCAACGACCGTATCCCCTATTCACACATCCAATTTCACCCTTTACAACCTGCCCTACATTGCTCCGCCCAGCCAGCTTCGTTATGTTCAATCTCTTTTGCTTTTATCAAATTAAATGTTTTTAGTTCATTTTCCTTTACAACCATCCCACCTAGTTATGTAAATTCCTTCTTTTATCAAATTAAATATTTTCTTCCGCTCCTTTTTTCCTCAATCAGCTTGTACTGCACTGCCCAGCCCCTCCAACAACCTAAGAGTCACATAGGACCATCCGATTAAAGCTTCCACACCCCTCGCCAGCCAATTGCAACCCCTTACTATTTGTCCAAACGAAATAAATTCTAATTTTGGAAGTACAAAACACATCGCCGATGAGCTTGCAGCTTGTATGTAAGCCCCTTTTTCAGGTGTCTCTTTCAGGGAATGTTATGCAGTTACAATTCTAGCCTGGCAGTCTAGATAGTACAGATTGCAGTAATTCTAGAGGACAAAAATACGCAGTACCCTAACCATTTGTGACTCTCCCTATTGTTTGTTCAGTTAAAAGTTGTACTTTTACTTCTTTTTGTGGACAAGTGTACTTCCATTTGATCCACTTGAATTTAATGCTGAAATCTAAGAGCTTCTTATATTCCTTATCCGGACATAAATCAAATTAGCTAGCATCAAAATGAGGCAAAAGATGTGATAATCTCAACTCATTGTCCCATCAAAAAGAAAGAAACGATCTGAGGGCATATCATACTTCAAGGCCCTTCAAAACATTGGGATCCTTACACACTTGAGGCTAATTAGTCCCAGTAGGAAACCCATCAACATTGTGGACTCAAATTAGCTCAATGGGCCAGTTTTTATAACTAGGAAGATGTAAAATGTTCTAATGAATGGTTTATTTCCACCGCACACAGTGTATTCAAACTCAGCTTGTAACTCAGCCTCAATATGGCAAAGAAAGAAAACATAGCAATGGTGCTATAGCATTTGCAGTATGTACAGAAGCAAAGAGCAAAAGTATGGTTCCTTCAACTATGTAGGGAACTGATGAAATCTACCATGGTATCACCAGTATCTCATCTCTACAAATCCAACATAACTGATTCCTTCCACGTATAAGTTACCTTCATTAACTGGTTTAACAGAAAGAATACCAAGTAAACCACTGATTTAAAAAGAAGAAATTTAAGTAATTTTTCATAGTAAAGGAAAATTACTGATGAAGAAGAACATCCAGAAGATGACTATATGCGTTAATATCTTAATCGTAAGTAAAAGTTGCATCATGTATCCGATCTATTGATGCAGACAGAAGACAAACTAATCCTATAAAAAAACTACTTCGTCAACCAAAAAGTGAAGGAAACAAAGCCAGTGTATACAGGCATGTTGTACTAAAAATGATCATTGAAAGTTCTTGCACTATGCTCAATCCACATACACCATGAAAACCAAGAACAGCTAACTGCCAGAGAATGATCCATCTTTTGTATGCCAAAGTTCATGGGGCCATTTACTTGGGTTTTTCACTTCTATGAGTTTGGATTATAGATTAATCACTGGTGTATATGCACATGATACACTAGCCTATCCGACTTCAAACTACAAGTATCGCAGCATTCTCGTTCAAGACTATATAAGCAGACAGTACAATTTCAACATTACAAGCTCGCCTAATGAGGCAAAATCATCAATAACAAATTGTGAATGAGTTAAAAAACACAACTGATCTCTACCATAAAATGAGTAAAATCGTTTCTTACTCAAAAGACGATGGCAGCCGAGTTAATCCACTAAAAGGACACCAGTGAACTCCAAATGACTGCAAAACCTCGTACAGGACATACAACGTTTAGTAAGTAAAATTTAATAATTGGCTTGAGAAGAAAAACAATCAACAATAAACAGATCACAGAAAGAAAAGAAAGGCAAGAGAAAAGCAAAGTTATATTTAGGCACTAGCAATGCACCAACAAATGTTCATGAGCCAAGCAGGACTTCTCTTTTTCTTTTTAATGTTTTTCCTGTAGCAACAGGAAAAACACTAGAAGGAAAAAGAATTTGACAGGACAAATGGAACTTTACACACACCATAATAAAAAAATGTTTTCCCTGTAGCAATGGACAGAAGAAATGGAGCTTTACACACACCAATTAAAGTAGTTTCTTGCTACCAGAAATAATTGACAAATCATTGAAAACGAAAGTCCTCACACCCAGGTCCAATTTTATAGTAGTCAGTGTTATATCAGTAAACAGAGCACCAACTCGCTCTTCTAATGTACATGCTTCCTATGTCCACATATTCTTGTAAGAATCTTGTGATTTGTGTGTGCATGCCACTGAAGGAATTGACGTCCCCTTGCATAAAGGCGACCCCAAGTTCACCTACGCATTGTGTTGTCAAATGGATTTTAATGATGCGATAGAATCAGCAATTCTGATGGACAGAAATATAGATAACATTTGTTGACAAAATACTAAGACTCATGGGTTTATACAAATTCAATCTCATAACATGCTGGAATTCTTCAGGCAACTGATTCAGAATACCAGTGTAGGTTTACCCTTTCAGTAAGTTGCTGCAGATGACTTTGTGGTAATGTGAAAGATCAGGATATCTCATATTATGGCTACAACCTAACTGTTTCAGGTAAGTTTTGGAGACAAGCCCAGGACGGTAAGTTGCGGAGGCAAATAACCTATGTATGACATAAATTTCAGACAGGACATCCAGACAAAAATCTATCATACTAATCAAAGAAAAAGAAGGAATAGAATGTTCCACAAACCACTTCAATAGGCCGTTTGTATTAATCATGTTATACAATCATAAATTGTCAAACTCAGAAAACTGCAAACTTATATATCAGAAAAGACTTTCCTCAAATTGTTTAGAATTGGTGGAATACAAATTAACAGTCCTAAGCTCAAAGAACTTCATTTCTTGTTAACAAGAAGAGATTAAAGCAACAAAGAAGAGGTCTGGATGGTTGAGTACGGACATCATGACAAGGAGATGCGATTAGGCAATAATCTCCGAAACATAGTAAGCATATATAAGCAAAAACAGAACTGAAAAGGCAATCAAGAGTCAGATAAGGCAAGTCCATCTACTTCTTTAATACTAATCTTCAATCAGTTCCCAGTAGGAGAACCACATCATCCAAAAGAAACTTATGAAGACCAGATAAAGGAAAGTACAATGGCCCCACATTAAAACCAGGAGAATAAAACTTTTTATTAGTAGTTACTGATAGGTTAGATTGACTATTAGATTACTGAACAGTGGGTAATAGATGACTCATCTTTACCATTTCGGCGTAGCTCAGATCATATAGGTCTTCATCATGGGCCCAATCATCCATGTTGAACTCAGGTAGGGGACGACAACCACCGGCATAAAGCCATTGACCTTTCTCAATTTTCCGACAGTTGGGACACTGCATTTGTCCCTTGATGTTAAAGGCAGAACCAATGCAATCTGCATGCCATAATGGAAAGTTGTCAACAAGATGAAATACACCCACTTAATTCTAAATAAGGAATTGTTAGAGAATGTCAGAAACAAAAGTTACTACACTCAGTAGTCCCCAGCTTCTACGCACTAATACGTTCAACAACAATAATCTTAGATACCAACAAGAGAGGTTAGTGCACACATTTGTTCCTCCCCCCAAACACATGATAAGGTTCGTTCATCCTAGATTTCCCAAAGTTACACATCAAGTGAAGCTACAATAGAAAATGGTTTATGAAAGGAAGTTACAAGAAAGATAAATGGCTTCCACCATTAAGCAACTGTAAAATAATATCAAAGAAGTGAATAGCGGATACAAATTGCAGAGAACAACGTATAAATTGCTAGACTCAGGGTTCATTTTAGAAAGGCAGCAATATTAGAATAACTATCTCACAACCGAGGAGAATACAATAATAGCCACATTTGCCAGAATATCTCTCCTTTTTTTTTTTGATGAAGTAAGAGAGATATCATTAAAAGGCATCAAGAAGATGCAAAATAGATAGTGCTAGTCCAAAATGTGCTTAAACACTGAGAATAAGTTTACGGATAGACACCTTGTTTCACATAGGCGCATTGATGCGCATTGGCGTAGGCACGAAGTCGCTAGCGCGTACGTCTCATCTGAACAATAAATGTCACTAGTATACTGATAACTTAGTTTTTATGGAACCAATATGCATGAATATGTTAGTATTAACTATTAAGCACAGACATCACAATAAAAAGTCACTAAATTTGCATTAGAAACTTAATGCTGCTTTTTTGCATTAGAATAAGAAATTTAAAATGGTTTAGACCTTGATATATATGATTCGTATTACGTAAATTACTTTTATCAGTGCTATTAAGTAAATTCACTTGATTGTGATTCTCTGAATTCCTTAATCTTATTATTTGTGTTTATAGATATTTTTCTTAAATTACATATAACACAAATAACAAAATTTGTCTCTTTCTTCAATAAAGGGTGCACACTTAGTTGTGCTTTGTACTTAAAGCCCCAATAGATATAAACACTTTTATAACCTTTTTGCCTTCTACAACATTGGTATTCATTCATTGTACTCCTAGCTATATGCCTAGTTAATATGAGGTGTAAAAAACGATATGGCCCAACGATAAATTTCTATTTGCAAAGGGGAAAATTTGGGTTTGACTCCACTATATGTGCCCCAGATCGACTCCACAATAATAGAAACTGATCTCTGTGACCAAGTTCGGCGTGGGTTTTCAAGAAGCTAGAATATTAGACGTAAAAATGATCTTTTGAGTAGGATTCTGGGCTGATTGAATGTCGAACGCCTCGACGAAAGACCAAGAGTAAGCAATACTATTAGCACAAGAGACTTAGATAGCTAAACTACAACATGTACTCCGATTTTTTGTCGCTACTGAAGGGACCATGTTCTATGACTGAGGCAGAAGTAAGGGAAGCAGCCAAAGTGTTAGGTAATCATGATGTTTATAAAGTGAGGATGAGGATACATTCGAGGACAATGAGAAGGAATGGAGCAGAAGAAGAGCTGGTGGAAAATCATCAACAGTGACGATAAGAGAAAAGATTGTGCCAATCACATAGGAAATTTCACTTACCAAAAGAAAAAAAGAAAAAAAAGGAGGTTTCATTTACTTCCAATTTTCAGAAATCACATTGTAAGTCCAAAAAAAACTACATTGGACGTTAAGCTTTAAAATCTCAACTTGAAGAGTTCGCCCACTTCTTTTCCTTTTTATTTCCTGGTTTTCATCTACAACCTTCTTCTTACTCTGTCATAGCAAAATCATACAAATGGATGTAGTGCTCAAGCAATTTTATCATTGTTTCAGCTACTTGACCTCATATTTAAGGCTCAAACAGGACAGGCAATCCCAAAACAAAGAAATATGATTGAAGTTCTTTTATTTGGATATGTCTAAATCCTATTACTTTGGCTGGATATTTTTCTTTTTTGATCGGTTACTTTGGCTGGATACTTGTGACTACATGGTCAAAATACAGGCAACGTGTTCAAAATACAGGCGACAGTGATCAGTTGAACCTTTAATTAATCAACTTTTTTTTTTTAAATTGACCTCCTCCTTTCTTGCTCTTTGTTACTTCCAAAGTTCATAGAAGTAACCAATCTCCTTTAACATCATAAACCTTTAATTTTCTTAACAGCATCTGCTAACATCCTTGAACCTTTACTTTTCTTAAAAGCATTCTGCTGTACAAAAATCAAAGTGACAATTGCTTAGACCGTCTAGCCATTCTTGGTATCCCTTCAACTTCTTCAACTTCAGACACTTAGTTGCTTTAAAACATATATAACTCACCTAGCCGCAAGTATTAAGTAAAGGGGATAATCATCATCATGTGATAAGTCTATTTAACTTGATTAACCACCTGTTTAAGTTAATGATTGCAGAAAATTAACCAAAACATCTTAATAAAATCAAAATTCTGATCTCCCAAAGAAAAAGAAAAAAAGGTAGAAAATTCCACAACTTTAGCAGCTAATCAGATCTCAGACAATCTAGCGGTAAATTTAACTACCCACCAGGTTATTGCTTGCTTTCGTCACAAAGAGTACCAGTTACGTTTTAGTTAATTAATTAATTAATTAACAAAAGTTGGAAAGACGAACTAACCGAGGTGAAATTGATGTCCACATTGGAGTTTAGCCCAAGATCTATCTCCATTGTCGGTAACAGCTTCTAGGCAAATCGAACACGCAACCGCTGATGCCTTATCTTCTCCTCCACCGCCTCCGTCACCGTCGTCCGGAAGATCCACATCATCTAATCCCATAATTTACCGACAAAAAACAACCTACAACTTCGTTTACTCCTACCTTAATTTATAAAACAAAATATTAACTAAAATTATAATTGATCTTTCTTCTTCGATAGCAACAAGAAGAAAGGAGAAAAACTTTGAGATAATTATGAAAAATAAACAAGAAAAAATTCAGAGAATTTCCGATGGGTAAGGCTGGGTGTGTATATGAAATAGAATTTGAAGGGCGTTAGAAAGCGGTGAGAGTTGTTTGGGTTGAGATAGGTGGGGGAAAGAGAACATGGATGAGGCTGTAGTGTGAGCCTCTTTTCTTTTCCTCCTCTTTTCCTATTTCCTCTCTCCTCCTCAGCCCTTGTTTTACGGACCCATCTTTTCTTTTTCTTTTTATGTTTTTTTTTGTTTGTGTACCTTTTTCTTTTTTATCTCGTACTTGTAATGTAATAACAAGAAATAAATTTGACTGCTTTCAATTGTACGTTTTTCGATAATTTTATGCTTGTTTGGTTATTCTTATTTTACTATTTGTTGTACTGTGCTTTTATTTTTGGTATAAGCATTATCGATATAATGTTATACTAAAATTTACACATCTAATGTGAATAACACTACAAAAATTGACTATACCTATATAAAATAATCAAAATCACACTTCTGTCAAAGTCCTTTTTAGCTTTATCAACACAAGATAAGATTAAATAAAATTAAAATTCATTTGGATTTATTCTATTTATACTCATGCACATATTTTATATTATATCACGCATATTCCATTGTTAATTAAAACCAAACATAATATTAGTATACCAAATTCAAAGATTATTGATCCTAGTATTGCAGTTCATGCATTATAATTTTTTAACCCAACATAATTATGTCTACAAATCAAACGATCCCAAGGGGTTGGTTCAGAGAGTAGATTTTAATCTCCATTAAAATTCAATATTTTTTATTAGTAATTTTGTTATGCTCGTAGCTAATAATACATGCATAGTTATAGCGGAATTCATATAATTTTATGCACGATAAGAGGTGAAATAAGAATTAGTATTAGTAGTACATATATTAAACATAAAAATGGCAAAACTAAATGAACTTTTTGTGGTAACTAATTAATTATTATTAATCACCAGTGTAAAGAATACAAAATCATAGCTTTATTTTGATCAAAACCAAATGAACTTTTATTTTGTTTAAAAAGAAACACAAGTTTTATATTATATATTGTGTACTAATGTGCTTATACTAATGTTTGGACAAAATTTGCGAGTACAGATAGATGGGTGCTTCTCGAATAGACATGTGACAGTAAAGACATATACGATATGAGTCAGTAAATGGTCGGTTACGAACACGTGACCGGTATTATTATAAGTTTTGAAGGTATCAAGGCAGGGGAAGAAAATTTGAACATAAGGTATCGGTTGGAGAGGTCAACATTAAAGGAGCATCCGTTACAAAAAATTATAGCATTTTTTCTCAACCGTTATGTAACTATCAAGAGTTTTTACTCACATTAAAGAAGATCATAATTTGAGGATATTGTCTCCCCTAGTTTAGCTATAAATAATGAAATTTGCACTCATTAAAAGTCACGAAATACTTGTACGAAAAAAGACTGATACTATTCTCGCATTGATAAATCTTTATTTTACTATTATTGAGATTTTTGCATTTTTCTTGACTCAGGAGAGTTCAACTCGAAGCACATGCTTGTCTTTTCTTCAATTATCCTTATTTTACTCCCTTTGCTCTAAACTTTTATTTTATTTCATCGGATCATTGCAATGCACTTGTTTATAAATCATATTACAAATTCAACTATACTTATTTACGGGTAAACAACTAATCCAAATATAACTATTTTATGCAAGTCACTACAACTTATCACTAAACCAATCAATCCCTAAGTGTTCTCAAGAATATTGTTAACAAAACAAAATTATTCAATTTTTTTTTTTTTGGAAAAAGGTAAAGAATATTGGAACATAAACTTTTGAGTTTATCACTTTGGTCTTTCCTAATTTATTTCTCAATTTTATTTTCACATTTCTCCGTTAATGTTCTAATATTTTGAATTTCTTCTTCCAATATAAAATTAGTGCATGCTATGTATCTCGATATTAGTGGCAAAGACGATTTTGCTTAGACATATTGTGAGAATTGACCAAAAGCCACTGAAGAAATTACATGGCTATGGTGGTGGCTGGTGGGGTGGACATGATTGTTGTGAGTGAACATAAAGGTGATTGAGATCTGGATATTAAATTATTAGAAATTAACAAAGAGGCAAAATAGAAAAAAGAAATCGTTTTGGTGAATGAGCCACAAAACAGAAGCAGAAGCTAAAAAAGTAATTTTGCCCCATTATATGTGGAGAAAGGAAAAGATAGAAGAAAAGAATAGAGCGAACGAAAATTTAAGAAAGGAATTTTTTTTTAAAGAGTAGATTAAAATGAAAAGAAATAATGGTACTTTGGGATTTCTATAATACTTTATACCATACAAGTTGTGGACTCAACGTCTATTCTACACTATTTTTACTGTGAACTCTTGATCTATCAAACATATCTAACAAGTATTTTGTGACAAGAAATATTTGTTGCTTAAGCAAAAGCAAAGGAAACATCAAAAAAACATTTAAGGATTACTGAACAATAGTAGCAGGAAAGCTATTGCATTTTTCATACTACTTACTAAACATATTTTTTTAAGTAGTATAATGTGTTTTACGAACACATTATATTACTTAAGGTGGTGGGTTGACGGGTAGTTGTGAGTTTCTCCTAGGATTATCAGTAGTACCAGTAATATTTTTATTGTCGGTTGAAAGATATTTTCTTCTTGTTTGTTATTATATCTGGTACTTGACAGTCAAGTCTACTGTTTTTGTGAATTGCTACTAGAAATTGTTGCTTCATGCATGTGACTACTTCATGCTACTTTTTTCTAGACTTTTACTTTTTTTCTTGACTTTCACTAGAATTGTTGTTCCCTGATTGATACTATTTGATGCTACTATTTTCTCCCTTTATCTTATCGCCCTTTATCTCGTTGTTGTTTATTTCCTCCCCCTATTTTTTCTTCTTCTCCCTTATCTTCCTCTTCACATGTTCTTGAGCCGAGGTTTATCGAAAATAACTTTTCTACCTCTCCAGGTAGGGGTAAGGTCTGCGTATACATTATCATCCCCAGATCCCACACGTGGAATTATACTGGGTATGATGATGATATGATGATGAATGTCTTTTACGAACAAGGGAAATAAAACATGCAATAAATTTTACTTAGAAAACGAATGAATTACACTAAATAACGAACAATTATTTGATCAGAAAATAGTAAACCAAATGTAGAAGAGAAAAACAAAGCTTGGAATGGGTCAGCTAGAAATGGTCAAAAGAAGATTATTTGGGTCTTTTTATTTTAATTAGAGAGACAAAATGAGGTGTTCTCCAAATAAAAATAGAACAAAATTGTCACGACCCCAAATTACCTCGGTTGTGATGGCGCCTATCACAATACTAGGCAAGCCGATTCAACATTAACAAAATCGAGTTCTTTTGTAAATTCATTTTCTAATCAGATAAATCTCAAATCTCTCATTTTAATATATCAAAAATACACAAAACAAGTACGTAAATATATCAACACGGCCCGAATCTGATATCACTAGTCATGAGCCACTAAATACAACCCAATATTGTCTGCTTAACACAAGATAAGACTGAAATATAAAATACTAAGGATAGGAAGGAGAAAAGCAGGGCTGCGAATGCCGTGCAACTACCTTGCAATCTCCGGATAATACTCTGAAGGCAACAAATAGCTCTCACTCAGAGGCTCTGGCACCTGGATCTGCTCACAAGGTGCAGGGAGTAACATGAGTACGCCAACTCAGTAAGTAACCAAAGTAAATAAAGGCTGAGTGCAGTGACGAGCATTTAAAATCATATACATACTCTAACATAGAATCTCAATAGAAATATCAAAGTCAAAATCTGTAGTTCAATTACCGAATAGCTCGTAAAAACTTCAGTTTCAATGAAAGTTCTGTAAAAACTTTTATTCAACATTTTACAATAGAGGCTCAGTATATAAAAGAAGAGTGAAAGCAGTAATTTCATAAATAAGCCCCTCGGGTAAAGTATCACTCATAAATATAGCCCCTCGGGCAAGCCTCTCAGTCATTCGTGACTCAACTCTCATCAATCAGTACTCACACTCAGCACTTCCGCTTAATAGATATCTCATAATAATAACCGCTGCGGCGTGCGACCCGATCCGTAAATATAAATATTCGACTGCGCTCACTGGGGGTGTGCACACTCCGGAGGGGCTCCTAATGCCCAAGCGCTATATCGCTGCGTCGTGCAGCCCGATCCAACATATCGTTGTGGCGTGCAGCCCGATCCATAAATATATATAATTCTCACCATCAGGTCCTCGACCTCTCTCAATCATCAACCTCACAGCCACTCAGGAATTTCAGTAAAAAATCAGGGAACTCAGCCCAAATATGTGATGACCCAACAAGTCATCACTTGTAGAAATAAATTCTGTGTTCCGAGGCCTTAAAAACCTTTTTCTGTCTCATCTCGATTTGCGTGCGCAGTTCAGGCACGTAGCCGGAAAGCCATTATGTGAAAATTTATGAAAAATGATAAAATTTGCCTTTAAAATGAATTTAAGTTGACTTCGGTCAATATTTTGGGTAAATGGACCAGGACCCGTGATTTGACGGTCTCGGAGGGTCCGTAGGAAAATATGGGACTGAGGCGCATGTCCGGAATCGAATTCCGAGGTCCCAAGCCCGAGAAATAAATTTTTAAAGAAAATTATTTTCTGGAATATATATAAGTTTTGGAAATGAAATGTGTTTGGAATTCGATGGTATCGGGCCCGTATTTTGGTTTTAGAGCCCGGTACTGGTCTTATATGTGATTTAAGTTGAGCCTGTAAAATTTGATAAGAAACGGAGGTCATATGACGTAATTCAGAACCTTAATTGTAAAATTTGAAACTTTGAAAGTTCTTGAGATTTTCTTGGATTTTGATGCTAAATTCATAGTTGTTGATGTTATTTTGATGATTTGATTGCACGAGCAAGTCCGTATGGTATTTTTTGGTTAGGGTACATGTTTGATTTGGAGCCCCGAGGGCTCGGTGAGTTTTGGATAGGCTACGAAGTGAAATTTGGACTTAGAAAGTTGCAGGTTTTTAGCTGGTATGTTGCAGGTCTGCAGGCTTCGCAAATAGGCTTCGCAAATGCGAAACCTAGCTCGCAAATGTGAGCCCGCAAATGCAAAGTTTCATCGCAAATACGAAGACAACCTGGGCTGCCTTGGGTCGCAAATGCG